AATATCAAGAATCAATAAATGAGATGGATTCGAACTAAAAAGCTTCTTCTCAGAAAGGAAACAATCAATAAGTTAAAGAAAGAGCCTACATAGGGCTAGGGAGATAGCTCAGTTGGTAGTGTGCTTGTGTCACATGCACAAGGCCCTAAGTTCAATCCTCAGCACCTAAAAAAAAAAAAAAAACTTGAAGACATAACCCTCAGAATGGGAGAAAATCTTTCCCACCCACAGAGAGCAAACTAATCTCTAGAGTATCTAAAGAACTCAAAAAAACTTAACAACAAAAAAAAAAAATAACCTAATCACTAAATGGGCTAATGAACTAAACAGACACTTCACAGTACAATATATGCAATCAATCAACAAATATGTAAAAACTGTTCAACATCTCTACCAATTACAGAATGCAAATCAAAACTACTCTAAGATTTCATCTCATTCCAGTCAGAATGGCACTCATCAAGAATACAAACAACAAAAAATGTTGCCAGGATGTGGGGGTGGTGAGGGCAGCAAGGTATACACTCATACATTTCTTGTGGGAATGAAAATTGTGCAATCATTATGGAAAGCAGTTTGGAGATTCCTCAGAAAACTTGAAATGGAACCACCATTGGATTCAGCTATCCCACTCCTCAGTTTATACCCTAAGGACTTAAAATCAGCATATTACCATAATGCAGCCACATCAATGTTTATAGCAGGTCAACTCACAATAGCTAAACTATGGAACCAATCTAGGTGCCCTTCAACACATGAATGGATTTAAAAATGTAGTGTGTATATATATATGATGAACTATTACTCAGCCTTAAAGAAGAATGAAATTATGGCATTTGTTGGTAAACGGATGGAATTGGAGAATATCATGCTAAGTAAAATAAGCCCATTCCCCCAAACCAAAGGCCCAGTATTTTCTCTGATATGCAGATGCTAATTCACAATGTGGGGGTAAGCTAGGGAAGAATAAAGTTACTTTAGGTAGAGGGGAATAAAGGAAGGGGAGAAGGTATGGGGGCAGGAAGGATAGTAGAAAGTATGAGACATTATTACCATATGTATATATATATGACTGTATGACTGGTGGGATTCTACATCATGTACAATCTGATGATCTATCAACGTGCACTCTACTGTCATGTATTACTAATTAGGACAAAAATTTTTAAAAAAGGTGTTTTACAGAATCCAATGACATTAGATTTCTATAGTTTAAGGGACACCTATGATTTTATTAAATCTATATGATGTGTACATGTTTCTCACGATTCTGAAAATCTTTCTAAAGCCTTAAATGGCTTCCACTCACAAATCAGTGGCATATGGCTCATCCCCGAAGCTTTCACGAGTTACTGTCTTCATTGTTTTCAGAGACTGGCCGATGGAACTGATTGCTTCTGTGCTGTCTGTAGACAATAGTGCTTTGTTGTGCTTTTTACTGTTGTCTTAGCATGATTCTTGTTCTACATTTGCCTCACGCACCAACATGAACCTCTGATGTTCTGCAATGCTACATACCCTTCATGTTCCATGCCCTACCTGAGGAAGAACAAGGACCCATGGTCACCTCTCCTAGGTTCACTTCCTTCAGCAGAAAGCAGCCAGATCATGCTGATGTGCAAATGTCTTGGAACAATCTGGGGGGATGCTGGGGATATAGCTCAGTTGGTAGATATAGCTTAGGTGCTTGCCTTGCATGCATAAGGCCCTGGACTCAATCCCTAGCACAACAGAAAACAATAGAATCCAGGAGAGACTGTTAGGTGGCCAGTTGGCCATGAATGGGTGAGCAGGAAGAGATCAAGAAGTGCGGCTGAGCCTCGGGAGCCTTATCTGAGTGGCAAACACCTGTAAGATGGGGGCCTGCTAGGTCAAAGCCTCCTCAAGCATTCATTGAGATAAACTATCATTTCTGGACCATGTCATCATTATTTCATGTAACCAAGGCTCCTGGATCCTCCCTTATCTCCAAAACTAGGTCATAACACATATTAAAAAGTAATGAACCAATTAAAGGGCAGGAAATTGAGGCAAAAATAGGGAAATTCAATAAGAAACCCATTAGGGGATGGGGAAATTGAGACAAAACAATGGGACTCAATCTCCCTAAAAACTCCCAATTCTGAGCAGTACATCATCCTCTCTGGGAGGAAGTCCATGCAGCTCCTATGATGTAAGTCAAAAGGTGGCATGGACAGGACTCTGGAAACTTCCTGGACCTCCCAGTGAAACTGGAGAGCAGGAGGAGTGTGCTGTCCCTCTCCTTCCTGAGAGGACTCACTCTCTGCCTTCAGTGATCCTTTGCCACTTTCACATGCATTCTAATGAGCTCACTTCTGTTACACTGAGAAACATGTCTGGAATCTTTCTGGCATGATTGCAAGTCTTGGGGTGAAGGGGGGCTCTTCATGCTGCCTCAATTGTGTGGAAGGCCTCATACCTGTAACATCACCATGGGGTGGGAAAGAGCTCCATGGTTCCAGAGCTGCTCCAGACACAGGCTGCACTGAGGGTGACATGAGCGATGACTTGGCTCTGTCCGTCTGCCCACCCCTGGGGTACACAGCCTAAGTTGGTGTGGAGAGGGACTTTGCCACATTCTGTCTAGCTTGATTCCATGGGCACATTAGTTCAAAGAGTTGTGGGGTGAAAATCCCTGCCATTGTCCTTGGGTGCACAGGAGGCCTGGGAGGAAGTGTCCCTGGCTCTGGCTCCAGCTTGCTCCCTGGTGGTAGAGGAAAGACCTGGCTGTCTTCCCGTCCCCAGGCATGCCAGCTAGGACATACCACAGTAGCAATAGAGGGGACCCTGAAATCTCCATGAGAACAAGCCCACATCAGCCTGCTGGAGGAAGGTGCACCACAGGGAGGAAAGTGGAGGTGCCCCAGTACACAGCCAGCTCACCCCCAGAAGCAGAGCTGTCTGGTCAGCCATCCTAATGCTCACTTGAAGGAGCCCAGCTGAGCCTACCTGGAATTGCTGGCCAGCTCGTTCATAAACTAATTTTATGGAGTGATTTGTTTTGCAGCAGTAGGTAAGAAATACATAAAGAAATACATGCAGGTAAATTGAAAGTTTCTCCGATATGCAGGAGCTAATTAAAAATAAGAGAGGAGGGGTGGTAAAGAAAAAAGAAGAGAGAAAAAAACACAGGAGAGGAAATCTCAACAAAGTAGAGGAAAGATGAGTACACTAGACAAAGGGGACAGAGGAGGAGGAAGAAGGGATGGGAAAAGGAAGGAGCAGTGGAAGGGATCTGACAGAATTTTCCCATATGCCTGGTCGGGGCATGGTGGATCCTGGCATCAGGCATATCCACAGGACACTAATGATTTTTAAAAAACTACACTGTAGATGAACTGAAGAGATCAGTGGAGTGGAGGGAGGGGTGGGGGGGCAGGGGGAAGTGCTGGGGACTGAACTGGTATAGGTTGATTTCATATCTTTATGAACATGTCAGGGCATATCCTGGTATTGTATATAATTAAAAGAATAAATGTTTTAAAAAACAGAGAGGAGTGCCAGGGACCAAAGATAAACCCCAAAGGCAAGCTCACAGGACATACTTCCTCCAGCAGGCCCTGCCTGTTTACAGGTACCATCCAGTATAGCGGTTCTTTAAAATGATTAATCCATCAAGTGGATGAACCCACTGATGAAGTTACAACTCTCATAAAATAATCATTTTGATAGGAGGCAGACAGATGTGAGTGGTAGAAACATGAGGTCAAGTGAATATTTCTCTAAAATGGGCCCACTGTCCTGCCCCTCCTCATGCTTTATTTTCCAAGAAGTAATTCATACACACTACTGCCTGGCCTCATATGTCACATTCTCCTCAACAAACTACCTGTTATCTGCAGGAGAAATGCAGGCCCAGAATAATGTCAATAAGATGAACCCAAGTTACTCTGAGGGGGGACTTTTGTGACACTTTCCCAGATCAGATCCTAAAGCTCAGAGAGATAAGGCTCATTCTCCCTAACTATAAAATTTGTAAGAACAGGTTCCAATCAGAACCAGTCACGTGGACCAAAGTGACCTAGCACTGTCAAGACAGCAGGGAGCAAAAGTCTGATGTCATTTTATTGTCAGTCAAAAGTCAACATGTGTAACTTTGGAACTCTCCAGGAACTTCCCTGGGACCACAATAAAACTGGAGGACTGGAAGTGCACACCGTCCCTCTCCTGAGAGGTCCCCCTCTCTCGAGAATGTCCCCTTTCTCCTTCCTATCCCTTCTAATAAACTCATGCCTATAATTCTGAGAACTTGCCTGAGAACTTTGTTTTTCTAAAGAATTGGGGTCTGAAAGGGGCGGTCACACTGCCTCAGTTTCCTAGAAGGCCTCAGGCCTATAAAAATGTCACCTCCGAATGTTCCTGATGGGTGTCACATGTGAGCTTCTGGGGAACATCTCGTGTGCAATCCATAACAACACGGAAGGTGGCGTATTCTGGACTGAAAGATCAGAATGCAGAGTAAATGTCAGAGCGGTCTCCTCGAAAATACCCACTAGTAAAAACCTACTGTATTGGGTTGATCACATGTATAAAAAAAAAAAACACTGCACACATTCGTTGAGTAATTTATAATCAACTTCACCTGCTTGAACTTGGTCCCTGTGGCTTCCAGACCTGTGAACTAAGCTCGCGGCACCCATCAGGTTGCCACCGCAGGCTGCTGCCCTAGAAGCCGGACTCCCTTGAGCGTCCAAGCGGTCACAACAGTAGAGGTCAGGAAGGGTGCGCTCTGAACTGCTAAGGCAAAGCTCATGTCGCTTCAGGCAGGAGCAGCACATCTCTTCCTCTGCTTTGCTCCGTTCGTGACAACCATTTCTAAACTATCTTCTGCCAGCTTCACAGCGAACGCGTCCCCACAGGGTCAGGTCTCAGCGCAACCGCGAGGGTGAACCTGAAAAGAGATGGGTCAATACACCTGTCACTCTGGCCTCTGGCAGCCAGGGATTGGATGAGCTTAGCTGTCACTCACGACGGGGGCGTTGCCTAGGTATTGTCCATCAGGGCGCTGGGGCGGAACTGTCTAGTCCAGCGCGCGAACGGATGGCAAGGGCGGGCTTCCGCAGTCTCGCGGGCTTTTCTTCCTCGTCCGCGGAGCTCCTTCCTCGCAGGCCCGCGTCCTCTGCTCCGGAAGCTCGGGAGGCTCTGCGCGGCCTGTGTCTCCCCGCTCGGGTGTCTAAAGATTCCTCGGGAGGACAGCGAATCACTCCGCAGACCAGAGACGGTGGGTGTGCGGTCAAGACTGGCGGACCCGATCAGCGCCCGGCGTGGGGACCGGCGTGAGGTTCAGCTGCGGAGCGTGGGGCGGAGTCCGGGCTGGTGGGTGGCTCAGGGCCCTGTCCTCTGGGGCCGCGAGTGGGCTGGCGCGGGTCCCCGTTGGCGAGTGGCGCTGTCCCCTGTCCCCTGGGACCGCGGAGTGGGCTAAGCGGCAGCGGGACCCTGGAGTCCAGTTCTCTCCCTTTGACAGCCTCCGACCTCCGTGGGTCATCTGGGCAGTTCCCGCAGCCGGCGGCTCCCAGGCACGCAGCGGCGGTGGTCGGTGGGAGGAACGCGCTTGTCCGCGCGCCCCGTTCCCCGTGCGCAAGAAGCGGGTCCCAAATGCATTGCCATTCTAGAGCCTGGCTCCTCCTAGGGCGGCAGCAGTGCCTTCCCGCGTTCCCAGACGCCGCCGACTGCACCCTCTGGCGCGCACTTTCTGGACCGTCCGTTCTTAAGGCGACGTGCAGGTGACAGTGATTTAGTTGTTGTAGTCTCACCAAGTAATGGACGGCCTTTTTTTTTTTTTTTTTTTACGTGGGTGAACATTTCTTTCCTAGGAGTGGAAAGCAGAGAGGAATGACCTGAACTTGAGATTAAGAAGCACTTATGACTCTTTATCTTCTCTAAGGACAGGTGCCTCATAAATGCCTTTGGGCACAGGTGTCTTTTGGCCACTTTACAGGATCCTGTGTCCCGAGCCACTATCCTGTTCTTTCATGGGGGTTGTCACAGGGTGTCCACAGCTGCCCCATGTCCTGCAAGATGCAGGGAATTTCAGGCCCTGGTCAGCTCCTCCTAGAGGACAGTTTGAGGTGTAGAGTGCAGCTTCTGAAGGGAGAAGCTGGAGGCCCTGGGGCTGAGGAATCTCCTGGAGAGGGACACTGTCTCCCCATAAGACCTGTTCCATTCTGTTTTTTTTTTTTTTGTTTGTTTGTTTTGTTTTTTAAGCCAGGTATTGAACCCAGGGGCACTTAATCTGTGAGCCACATCCACAGCCTTTTTTTAATATTTGGAGACAGAGTCTCAGTTGCTGCTTAGGGCATCCCTAAGATGCTAAGGCTGGCTTTGAACTCACAATCCTCCTGCCTCAGCCTCCTGAGCTGCTGGGATTATAAGCATGTGCCACTGCACCCTGTGACCTTGTCCATTCTTAGGGACCCACTGGTCAGACAGTGGGATGCTGGTATGAAGGGAGAGGGACAGACATGATTCCTGTCCTCTGGATTCTCTCAGAGTCATGAAGGGACAACAAGGATTCCAAAGCAGGGAAAACTGACCCCAGCAGTGTGGAGCAAAAACCTATAAACTTTTGGCCCAGCCTGTAATCCCAGCAAGCTTGGGAAGCTTAGGCAGGAGGATCGCAGTTTTGAAACCTGCTTTAGCAACACCCTGTCTCAAAATAAAAAATAAAATGAGCTGCAGATGAGGCTCAGTGATAACAGCGACCACTACCACCCAAGAAACTACAAAGGCAACCTGAAGGGGTGGGAGGATGTGCCTGGTGACAGCTGGGCTGACCTGAAGCTGGAGTCTGACAGGTCAGTGTCCAGGCAGGGAAGCCCTTCCCTGGGTTTGCTGCCTTGGAAAGACTTGCTCACTTCAGTTACTCATTAGCTGCAAAATGCCATTTATTAGTAGACCTAAAAAAGATGAGAAAATATTTCCAGAGGGCAAGGAAGAAGGGTAATTCAGAAGAATAAGAAAAAGAAATATTTGGTCTAATATTCTGTCAATTAAAGATTCTCATATACTGTTTCCTCCCTCACACTGAGTTTATTGCTTTTTATTTTATTTATTTTTTGTACCAGGGGTTGAACTTAGGGGTATGTGGAACCAGTCAGCTCTGCAAGCACCCACAGCTCCTGCAGAAAGGGCTGCTTTCCTAGGGAGGAGCAAACAGGGTCAGGGAGAAGCTGGAGGGGAGGGCAGCGAGGAGGGGGCCAGGTCAGATCCCAGGTCAGAGAGTGTTTCCCCAGAAGTCAGCCTGTTCTCAAGAGGCACCAGGAAGAAGGGTTCTATGTTATTTCTAGCACCAATGGGTCAGAGTCCAGGGTCCTGGAGGAAGGAGGGAAACTTGAGTTAAGTTTGAGTACCAAGTATTTGTTCTGATTCCTGAAGAGAAAACTGTTCCCCTAATTGCTTATGAGGGGGAAAAAAAAGAGGGGAGGGATTTTCAGTATCAGAAGGTGTCTGCCATGAGTTAAAAAGATGGCAGTCGGCTGCCTTGGACACCAAGGCTGTAATTCCTCACATATGCTTGTGACTCTGTGCCCAGAGGTGCAGAAGAACTTCGGGGCCTGCTTTGGAAAGCCAGGACTCAGCTCTGCTTAAGTGGAAGTGTCCCCTGGTGGGGCAGGTCCCCTTGCAGGGAGGAAACCCTGCCTGAAAAGGGCCGTAGCCAAAACCCTGTCCTTCTGGCCTCATTTATCCAGGAGCCTGATACATCTCCTGTCACTCGGGCCCCAAAGTGTGCGTATGTGGGCTGGGACAAGAGAGGGGTCTTCTGGAGCAGGTGGCCTTCTGTGGTTTCAGAGGCCTTCATCTCTCATCCTCTGCAGCTCAGAATCCATCTCCAGGACTGTGTCTTCTCTGCTGTGTGAGGCCCAAGTGGCTCTGGCTCAGGTCTATCTCTTTTTGACCTCCAGGTGCTATGAGGTCCACAGGAAGGAAGTCAGGACTCTCCAGAAGGCAGGAAATGGTGAGTGTGTGGGGCCAGGACTGCTCAGGGAGGTGGGCTGTTTAGAACTGGTGGTAACCAGCTGTGGCTGGATTCTGGCCTCCCGCTGTCAGCTCCAGAGTCAGTCAGCCCAGACCTGAGTCAGATGCTGCTACAGCTCAGCCCTTGATGCCTTCAGGACATGGTGTGGGCTAGTGCAGGTGGGTTCCCAGTGTGCTGCCTGGTCTGCAGCCACTTTGGCAGAACACTCTCTGTGCAGCTTGATGCCAGCCCAGCCCCTCAGTGTGCATTGAAGACAGTGGGCCTCAGGGGATCCTGCCTCAGGTGTGGGGCTCCTGTGTAGAGGATGCTGATCTGAGGAGTCCATGTCCGTACTCTTCACTAGGAGTCAGTTTGCCCCCATCTCCCACACCTAATCCCTGCTAGGGCTTTTAATTGATCCTTATAATACCTACTTTCTCCTCACATTTCCAGACTCAACTTCCTGATCCAGTTCAGAGCATTATCCACTCTTTGCTCCTCACACTGCATTCAGTGGGCACAGCATCAAATATTTGTTTCTGTTTGTGAACATTTGCCAAGTGGTGAAAGCACAGGACAGTCACCTGGAACTCCATTGTTGCAACTCTTGCTATTTATTTCTGGGTGTGTGTGGGGATACTAGGGATTGAACTCAGGGACACTCAACAGCTGACCTATATCCCAGTTCTATTTTGTATTTTTATTAGAGACTGGGTCTCACTGAGTTGCTTAGTGCCTCACCAGTTGCTGAGGCTGGCTCTGAACTTGCGATCTTCCTGTCTGGGATTACAGGAGTGCACCACCAGCTAGCCCCACTGTCACAACCCTTTGGGTCTGTCTTTTTTTACCTTGCCCAGGCACAGAGGCTTAATGCCTTAGAGTAAAAGTTCCCTTTCAACTCTTCACAAGGTCCTGTGTACTAGGCCACTACCCTTTCATGGGGCTGCCCCAAGGTGCCTATAGCTGACCTTTGTCCTGCAGGGTACAGGCAATTTCAGGGTCAACTCCTCCTAGAGAACAGCCTGAGATGTGGGTTGCAGCTTCTCAGGGGAGAAGCTGGAGGCCCTGGGGCTGAGGAATCTCCTGGAATAGGCCTCATCTAGATAGCTGCCTCCTAGGGACACTGTCTCCCTCAAGCCCTGTTCCCATTCCTTGGAGACAGGTGGACAGTGAGCCTGTGGATGCTGGTGCTAAGGGGCCAGATCAGCAGTGATTCCTGCCCTTGCATTCTCTCACAGTTGTATCGGAGGAAAACTCTCCCAGAGCATAAGGACCACCCACCCCAGTGCAGTGCTGTGCAAACCTGAAAGCCTCCTAGACTGGAGTCATGGTCTAGGTCTCCTGGGAGGGTGATCATGGAGTGTTTCAGTGAGAAGGACCAGGTGGGACTTTACCCGCCCCTTGAGCCTGACACATCTATGCTCCCTCAGCACCAGCCCTTTCTGTGTTTTTCACTTTGAAATGATCTTCCCCCTTATTTAAGACCCAGTTTTAAATGTAGAATGTGTTTATTCAGAGCTCAGCAAAGTAAACTATTCTAAAAGACATAAAAAGAAGATTTAAAAAAAAAAAAGATAGGTTTTTTTTGTGTGTGTGTGTTTGATAAAAATTCTTATTTACCTTTCTGCTTCCTCTTTCCACATGTAGAAAGTTTGTGAGACCTCACCTTTTTTTTTATAATTTGATTTCAAATGCAGTTATGTGTCTTAGGATCAAGAACGCTACTAGAGAAAAGAAATATAAAAAAAAATCTGTCATTGTTGCTGTAGAAAATGATTGCATTTCCACAAAAGTTGTGGTAGATAAATTTGGACTACAAAGATTCGTGAGAATATTGGTTCCTTTGTATAAAGAAGAACTCCTTATAGTGGACAGCTCCATTTTGCTTCCTGTTTTTTGAACTTGGAAGATACAATAAATTTTATGGGACAAACATGGCAATTACAAATCGATTCAGTATCATGGAAATTGTTATTAAATGAAAATTCTGTTGTGTGAACAGAACAGATTTTCATGAGATTACTAATAATTCATGAGCATCTTTTATGATCTCATCTAATTCCAGGTCCCTCCCAGATTCCCCTTCCTAATGCCACCCACTGGGAGTTCACCTTGTACCTTGTGAATTTGGGGTTTACATGGCCCTTCAGTCTATAATACTATCAGATATTGTTTTCTACAAGCTGTTGGAGACTCCTGGACATTTTGGCTACTCTTAAATGTTTGTCTACTATTTCTACTTGTAGAAATAGTTTTCTGAAGTTCCTCAACAAACCAATCCTGGTCTTGGACTTCACAGAATTTAAGAAATGAAATTAAAGAAACAATCGAGCTGCTTCACTGCAATTTGATCAAAGTACATGCAATTCATTTATCCTTTTTATATTGATGCTTATTTTGCAATTTTGCCAGGGTGCTGAATCCACTTATCTATGGTCCACGCAGGTTCCCTGGTCTGGCTGCCAGAAACTGTTCACATCACAGCATATCATATAGGCTACACCTTGAGGAATGAGTTGGAAGTGTTACCTGCTTCCTTTTAGAGGGGATTAAGGGTAGTTTTCATTTCCTCCTTAGTGTGGTGCAGAATCCACCATGACGTCACTAAGCCATGCCTTTCCTCTGATGATGGTTATTATCATTTCATTAGCCTGTCCATGTTGTGTGTTCCTCCTCTGGTGTGAGTTGTGGTAGATTGTTTTCCTCCTGGAGTTGGTCCCGTTCATCTGAGTTCTCAAATTGGGTCCAGACAGTTATTCATAATATTCCTTTATGGTTTTTTTACTCTCTGTAGGATGAATAATGGTATCTTTCATTTCTGTTGAGTAAGTTTTGTGTCTCTTTTCTTAACTTAGCTGTGGTGTATCTGTTACAAGTATGTCCACAAAGAGCCTGCTTTTGAGTTGATTCTCTATTGATTTCCTCATCACAGTTTCATTGATGTCTTTAATTATATGATAGCATCAGATGTAGGTTCTCCTTGGTGTTCGTTCTTTAGTTCCTGAAGTGGAAGGATGAAGGGTTGATTTTAGTTCTTCTTTTGTAATATAATCCTTCAGCTCCTCTAATTCCCCCTAAGCCTTGCCTGTGCTCTCTTCCACAAAGTTTCCTAAGATGCAGTTTCAGTTTTTTCTTCCTTTGAAATATTCAGACTGATCCTGAGACACCCTTGACCCATGTGCAGTTTAGAACTTTGGGATTTAACCTGCAGATATCTGTAGGTCACCCAGCTGTGTTTCTGTTACTGACGCCATGGTAATTCCAGTGTTCCTGGTGCCATGTTGGGATTTGGTAGCCTTCTGCACTAACGCCTGTCGTGGCTGAAGGTGGCTGGTTGTGGAGACTTCCCTGTGATGTTGAGAAGGATGTGTGCTGGGCTGCTGTTGGCTAAGTGCCCTAGAGGTACCTGTGGTGGGTGTGCTGTTGAGCTAGACTGACACCACGACAGCTCTTCTGTGTGCTCCAGCTGTCACTCACTGTCAGGCGATTGCCGCTGACTCCTTCTGTCACTGGATTTCACCGCGTGTCCATGTGAGTCTCTCAGTTATTCATCAGGTGTTTTGACCTGTTGTAGGTCGTGCATCTTAAAGATTCAGGCAGTTGGTTTTAAGTCTTGTTAGTGACTCTAGTGTTCATGTTTTCTTTTTTTTTTTAAGCTTTTTTTAAAATTATAGGTGAACACAATGTCTTTATTTTATTTGTTTATTTTTTTTTTAATGTGGTGCTGAGGTTTGAACCCAGTGCCTCACCCATGCCAGGCAAGTGCTCTACCACTGAGCCACAACCTTAGCCCTGTCCATGTTTTCTTAATAGTGGTTTAATTCAAGCATTTTTCCATTGATGAGATGTATATTCCTATTTCCGTGTATTCTTTATTTTGTTGCTTTTGAGAAGTGGGTATTTGAATATTACAATGGATTCCTCTGAAATCAGTTTCTCCCTCTATTCAGAGTTTGCTTTTGTTGAAGGCTGTAGCCATTGTGTGTAGTGACTTTCCAAAGTATTTTTGGAGGCAAGAGTTTAGTTGCTCAGTGTACTCAGAGGGTCTCTCTTAGCTTGTGTTGAGCTTGAGTTTTAATGGAGTTCCATGAGGAAATAGCTGTAAAGAAAACAGAAGAAACAGCAAGAGCTCAGCTCCTCCAGGGCCTGTGGATAGTGGAGCTGGGGCTGCTGCTTTAACACATGGTAGTGCTGTTTATACCCCTCCAGCCTCAGTTCTCTGCAGACCTGAGCCTGGAGAGCAACCAGTGCTGGGCATGTCGGTCTTTCTTGGTCCTCTCTGAAAGGATTCTTCCTGGCCTGCATGGGCTTTCTCAGTTCCCTCGAATACCTGGGTGCCGTGAACACTCTCATTTTTTTTATATTCTAGGAATTGAACCCAGGGGTGCTGTGTCACTGAGCTACATCCCCAGGTCCTTTAATTTTTAATTTTGAGACAGGTTACCTAGGGTAGACTAGAACATGTCATCCTCTCACCTCAGCCTGCTAAATTCCTGGGATTTGAGCCATACCCTACTGTGCCCACCCGAATATTGTAATATCTGAGAAAAATGTTTATTGGACCTTTTTTTTGCCAGGTTCACGTTGTGATTGTTTTGTATAAACATCCATCCAGATGCAGGATTTTTTTTTACTTAAAACATGTTTAAGCAATTCCCAATAATTTTTTACACCTGTTGTCTTCTGACTTAGACACAGCAATCAGAGGCTTTTTTCAGAGTCAGATAGCTCTAGATCCCCTGTGATGTCCAACTGCAGTGATTCACAGGTTAAGTCCTTGGTTACTGGCATCAATGACAGGAGCCCACACTGAGCGCTCAGGCTACTGTATGGAGGATGGTGCTGAGTTTCATGGTTTGCAGCAAGGACAGTGAAACCTCTGCAAGGCCGCCAGCCATGTTTCCCTGAAGCTGCATCATGCAGTTAGGTGAAATTTGAGGCTGCTCCAACATCATGATGGTTCTGCTTGTATTTCTAAGTTTCTGTGTGGAGCAGCTCAC